TTTCTGGTCTCAGAGGTAGAGGACGTGTCTAGTCCAACCCTAGACTCCATTCCCAAGCACAGCACCCGGTCCACCATGGGCACTCTGGAAACATACACTGACTTCACATCCATGACTCCAGGTAAGAACAAGAAGGAGGGAGCCAGTGGAGAGAAAGCGGGCACTGAAGAAAGCCTCTGTGTGGGGTGAGCAGTCCTGTGCACACGGGCACAAGGATGGACACTAGATTTCTCTTATGCTCTGCACGAAGGAGTCTCCTTCCTCTAATGCTTTACCCAGCTATGAGAGACGGCACCAAATAGACAGTGACACCACACACTCCTGTGAGGAGCCTCTCTTGGACCCAGAGGTTAGAAGCAAGAGATAGAAGTCTCCAGGCTGAAACTGATGGATGGGCCAGGCCCTGGGAGGAGAAAATTGCCCCCCATGGGTCCCAAAAGGTAGTGAGGCTGTTTCACCTGTGTGTGGTGCAGAAAGCCCTTGCAAAGAGAGGAAGCCCTTATAAAGAGGATAGTTTTGGGGCTGGGGAGATGGCTTAGTGGAATAAGTGCTTCTCTGGCAAGCACAAGGGTCTGAGTTCAATTCCTGGTTCCGCAGAAAGAAAGAAAGAAAGAAAGAAAGAAAGAAAGAAAGAAAGAAAGAAAGAAAGAAAGAAAGAAAGAAAGAAAGAAAGGTTTTATGGGTGGCACGGCATATAATGGTGAGAGTTGGGTCCTGGCCCAACCCTGGCTATTTTCTGGCCAGATGTATAATCTTGAGCAGATTTGACACCTCTCAGCCTGTTTCCTTGTCTATGGAATGAGGTTAATGATGTCGACCTTCTGGAGATGCTGCATGCATTAAATCAGAGCATGTATGCTAAATGCCAGGCTTTTTGTTTCAAATATGACATGGTTTATATTAGTCAGAAAAAGTTAACCACAATATAAAATTGTTCTCTCACCATTCTGGAGGCCAGAAGTTCAAAACCAAGACATCTGCAGAACTATACTCTTCTGGGACTCCAGGGGAGAACCTGCCATCCTCTTTCTCCAGCTTCAGTAGGCTTCCTGCATCCCTTGACTTAGAGCTGTGTCACTTCCGTCCTCTGTCTTTACAGGTGCTGTACATGTGCCTGTGACTGCTTTCTGTCTCTTATGAGGCCACTTGCCTTTGATTTAGGGCCCTCCTGATAATCCAGATTGATCTCATCTCAAGATAGCTAACTTAATTACATAACCATGTAGGGTTTTTTCCCCCCCAAATGGGCCATATTCACATATTTGGAGGTGTGGATATGTATTTGGGGGACTGCCATTCAACCTATTAGGATACCTAAAGTCTTCAGTGCTTTCCATAAGCCAGAGGTTTACATGCATGCATTATTTGATTATTTGATTAAGTGACCCGTTGGTGGATAAAACTCCAGTTCCCTGGGGCCTGGCCCTGTTTTCCTAAATGATGATGAAGTAACATGGACAAAGGAAGAAGGCAGACACATATTACCCATAGACTGCATTCCCTCCTTGGGTCTCTAAATTAGGGAAGCACTTATTCCACTGAGCCAACTCCCCGGCCCCAATTTTTTTTTTTTTTTTTTTTTTTTTTTTTTGGTTCTTTTTTGCAGAACCAGGGATTGAACTCAGGTCCTGCACTTGCCGGGGAAGTGCTTATTAAAGAAACATTTTTTTTTTTTTTTTTTGTGGAACCAGGGATTGAACTCAGGCCCTTGCTCTTGCCGGGGAAGTTGCTTATTCTACTGAGCCATCTCCCCAGCCCCAGCGTCTCTAACCTAGGAGGCAATGCACTTTCCTTTTTTTTCTGCAAAATATCTTTGCTGGCCACTGGTGAGCTGTCCTAATTCACCCTGCCCCCACCCCCAAGGAAGGATTTGTCATCCCAGCTGCTGGAAGAATCGTCATAAAATATCCTTCAGCTGCTGTAGCTCCTCAGTGTCAGCCATAATGCAGGAAGTCCTCACACTGGCCCTAAGATGGGGCATATCCAGTAAGCGTTTGGAGCTAATATGGGATATATCAGATGGGTCATCTTACCTTGAGTTCCCCTGGGCAGTCCTGCTTCCTCCTGCCTTTCATGGTATGATCCCCAAGAGCACCTAGTAATCCTCCTGCATACTAAACTCTAAACCAGAGTCTACCCCCCAGGTACCCCAATCTGCGCCAGTAGCTAAGGGTCATGTCCTTGGGATCATGCAATTTTATACCAAGTAGAAGTTTTTACTTAGACTAAGTTTGTACTAACGCTGTTTTCTGTAGATGGCAAAAGACTATGTTGTCTTCAAGTTTCAAATCATATTTTAAATATTTCCTTATGACTTTGAAGATTTTCATTTTCTTACAACTTGAGGCATACAATATAAATCTAAGGCAATTCTTTTTTGTTTTCTCTTCTTTTTTTTTTTTTGTGGAACCAGGGATTGAACTCAGACCCTTGCACTTGCCAGGCAAGCACTTAGTCTACTGAGCCATCTCCCCAGCCCCTCTAAGACAATTCTAAAGCCTTATAATATTCTGTTGGTACTTGAAAAAAAGGAGCACCGGTTTGGTAATGACTAAAACTGGCTTGGTTGAAAACAATAGTTTGAAGTTTCATATGTAATTCATACCTGTCTTTGAATCTTTACATTCTTTAGGTATTTAGAATCCTCTGTGAGCAGGAAGCTGGGAAAGGGGTGCATTGTACTGATTGAAAAAAAAAATAAACTTTTGGAATAAAGAAGATCTAAATTTCATTCTTGTCTCTATTATTTGATGTTCCTGAATTCTGCTAATTCCTGAATTACATGGGAATGATTGTGTTCAGCAACTTCCTGTTATTGTAGCAAACACCTGAAATCATCAACTTCTAGAGAAAAGTCTTCTTCTGGCTCACAGTTCTGGAGGATTCTGCCCATGGACAGTTGGACTCTTGCTTTTGGGCCTGTGGAGAGGCAGCACAGTGTGACTGGGAGCACGTGTGGAACAGAGCCACTCACCTCATGGACAAAATGCAAGAAAGAGAAAGAGGAGATGCTGGGGTTCCACCTTCCTCTCCAGGAGCACACTCTAGGGATCCAAAAATCCCAGTTAGGCCCCATCGCTCACAGGTTTCCTCTCCCTCCCAATGGAATAAAGCTGGTGCTAAGTTTTAACATACTGACCTTTGGGGCACATCCCACATCCAGACTGTAGCAAAAATGACCACCCTTACCATATAGAACTTTTATGAAGATTAGTGAGTAGCATTTCCATAAAGCATTTGTAATAGTAAACACAATAAATATACATTTTTATTAGCTATAGCCAAGCATGCCAACAGGTACACTAAATATATACACACCAAACACATTTTACGTCATTTGACTCATTGCTTACAGAAAAGCAATAAAATTTTTTTGAAATGTTAAAGAAGGATTCTAGATACTTTTTTCCTTATTACAAAGAAGGCTACTAAGTTTTCTACTTTAAGATGGTGTCTGCTTAAAGACCTCAGTAGGCCATAAATCAAGTGGTTTTTGAAGAAAGATACTTCAAGCAGAAGAGATAGACAGTGCAGAGGCTGAGAAGGCAGCCAGATTATGTTTGAGGACCAGCGAAGGAGAATTGTGTGGCTGGAGGGGAAAAGCCAGGTAGTTAATGGCAGAAATACAAAAGGGTGCTGGAAGGTTTCGTAGAATCTGGTAAGTCAATGTACAGATTCTAGATTTTTGCTAAATGATTGGGGAAGTTTTGGGTCCTGAGCCAAGGAGCGAGCTGGATTACTGTGGTAAGAATGGAGAGGGCGTAGGTAAGACAGAAAAGGAGGTGGTCAGGAGGTCACTGAGGAACCCCAGGCTGATGGCTATGGAAGCGAAACTTCTTTTGGAATGAAGGTGGCAGTGAGATAGAAGAGTGTGGACTGGGTAGGCCCGGCTAGAAAGAGACAATGAGAGTCTCCGACCCAGAGGCAGTATCTAAAGCCATGAGGCTGGATGAAAGCACTGAGGCACAGGAAGGAAAAGTAGGAGGTTAAAGAACAGTACTCGCAGACACTTTAGTGCTCATGATTTAGTGTTCAGTATTCAGGGGAAAAGCTACCAACAAAAGGCAAAGAAAACCAGGACTCTGGATCCAAAGTGAAAGTACAGGAGCAGAGCTTCGAGGGTTGAACAGGAATTTGTAAGGCCAGCGATCCTCAAAATGTGGTCCTAAGCCTGCAGTACTTGCAAACTGTTTAGGAACGTGCAAAATGACTGTCTCCATCAGCAGAGCACTGCATCAGGAGATCTGCGGAGGGGCCTTCCCAGGGCTTCTGTCGCACCCCAAACACACACACCATGTGAGAGCCACTGCCATCGCTGCAAAGCTGCCTTTACAAGAAAGATTAAAGAAACAAAACCAAACTGCCTTACTCGAGAGAATCTTATTGGAGACCCACTTAAAGCTCAGAGCAAACAGATTGCTTAGAAGTACCTGTGCCTCACAGCCCGGTTTGGAGCCTTCTACTGACCAACCAAGCAGAGCTCTGTGGACAGGGGGAATGCTGAGCACCAGGCATGCCAGGCATTCCTCTGGAGAGAGAGAGAGAGAGAGAGAGAGAGAGAGAGAGAGAGAGAGAGAGAGAGACAGAGAGACAGAGAGAGAGACAGAGACAGACAGAGACAGACAGAGAAGGAGAGAGAGAGACAGAGACGAGAGAGAGAGAGACAGAGAGAGACAGAGACAGAGGAGAGAGACAGAGACGGGGAGAGAGAGAGAGAGAGAGAGAGAGAGAGAGAGAGAGAGAGAGAGAGATTAGCATTACTGAACAATTAAAGCTGAAACTAGAATACACAGCTTACTCCACACCACGAGTTTTAAAGTTTCTCTACGCTGTCCTAAGAGAATTCTGCCGTCTTCCAATTTGGGGAGACGAAGTTAAAATTAGGGAGAGCCTTGCGGGACTGACAACCACATGCGGAGAGGCTGGCCCCCGAAATAAGCTGGTTCCCAGCGCGGGTGGGCGGGGCAGGGTCCCGTGTCCCAGCCCAGCGGAGGGACCGCGGGAAGGCCTGCCCCTTGCGAGCGTCCGCCCGGGGTCGGCTTCCAAGCTCCTAAGCCCCGGGCGAAGGCTGCGTGCCCGACCTCTGCTCTTCCCGGCGGTGGCGGGCCTCCCCAAGTGCGCGCCGTCTCCTCCCCAGCCTGCCCGCTGCTGTCGCCGGCACCTCGGAGTCCCCGCCGCCCGCCCAGCGCAGTCGGGAGCTCCTGGAGCGCGCTCTGCCCTGCGCTCTCCGTGCCGCCCGCAGCGCCCCTACCTCCCGCCCCCGCCCCGGTCCCCCCCGGGCTGCAGCCTGCACCCCTGGCCAGGCGCGACCATGCTGCTGAGGGGCGTCCTGCTGGTGGCTCAAGGTAAGGCTGGGGTCCGGGGGACCCCCGGGGGGCGCTCTTGCGGCTCGCTTCCACCGCGCGAGTGAGGGGCGCCTCCTGCTGGTCCTGGTCCTACCTCTCCCCTCCAGGACCTGGCTCGGCTGGGGTCCTCAGGGGAGGTCCCGGGGCATTGGGGATCTCACACCCCATTAGCAGGTGTGTGTGTATGGGGGTGCTGGGGAACGCTGCGAACTGAAACTCCCTCTGCCCGCAGCCCTGCAGCTCGCGGGTGCCCTCGACCTCCCCGCTGGATCCTGCGCCTTTGAGGAGGGCACGTGTGGCTTCGACTCGGTGCTAGCGTTTCTGCCCTGGATTTTAAACGAGGAAGGTAAGGGGCCTGTGAAAGGGCCGGAGATGAGCTTTTTTCCTTGTGGCCGCCTCCCCCACAGTACCCGGTCTCCCCTCAGCACAGGCGCAAGGGGATCTTGGAGTTCATTCCCCTAGGAGGAAAAGCATGAGTTATGGGTCCGCCCTCACCCCTCAGTTGTGATGTCTGGTGGCCAGAGCGGCCCTGGTGTACCTGGCCGGTGGGTGGGAGCCGGAGCACCTCCACCTCCCGCGTTGAGGCCACCTGCCAGTCAGGTGCCCCTGAAGGCCATCAGCCCCGATGGGCCTTAGACACCCGCGCGAAGGGGAAACACGGTCCCCATTGCTTCCACAGCTTGGCAGAAAATGTCCCCCCTTCTATGAGGGGCCCTCGGCCCTCAGACCTGCCCCTTACTCGCCAGCGCAGTGTACTAGTATGCTGCCGGGTTCCATCCTCATCCTCACCCTCCTGTAGAAGTCCAGCTGAACAAAGGAGGAAGTTCCACCTTGTCTGTCCAAGCCGTGCAGCCTGATGGCACTGGTCATTGCCTCACTGCTCCCCATGTTTGGGCTCCAGTGACAGAATTCAAATGTAGGGAATACAGTTACTTCTCACCCTTCATTTCCACAGGGGAAGAGTTGGTTTGTAGGTCCCAACTACAATCCTCCTCCTCCTCCTCCCCTTTCTCACTCATGTCCCACCATTTAGGAGCCTGATGCATGAGCTTGCTCTGAGACACACAGCACACCGAGCGGGCTACCACAGGTCACCGCCACTGCCTTAGAACACTCGGACAGCACAGCACCCTCCTTTAAGAGACAGCACTGTAATGAGTGTGCTAAGCTTCCTCCTCCACCAGTTGTCACCACTTCATCCATTCTGGATCCATTCTGGCTCCTGAGGACTAGAGCCCAGAGTGTCCGGTAGGATGCACGCACCGTCACCACCGTTCAATTGCCCAGACTTCCTTGTAGCTTCTCTGGCCTTCATGGGTAGGTGATATCACTATCATTTTGCAGAGGTGAGAAGCTGAGTCTTCAGATATTCAAATAGCTGGTCTGTGTCCCGTGGTGTCACTGAGTAGCCAACCCCTGAGCTGCCCATTTAGAAAGAACCAGGAAGGAACTAATTCAGTAGTTATCTTTGTCTCCAACACTTGTTACCACTTACCTACTGGTTTACTTGGAGGTATCTGGGAAGAAAACAATTCTTGGTTTCTTATCAGAGGGATTCCTGCGTTACTCATAGCTTTAGGCAAGGCCCTCTAACTTTAACACCCCAGCCCCTTCCCTGTTGTGTGTGAAGCATTTTGAGGGACTGCCTTATATATTTCATGGGACTGGCTTTGGAGTGTATTCTTCTCTAGCAGAGCTTCTCAAACTTCAGCTGCAGCAGGATGATCTGGTGGATGTGTTACTCTCTGAGTTTTTCATTCAGTGGGTCTGAAGCAGGCCTGAGTAGTTCCTGCAAGTTACCAGGTGCTGCTGCTATTGGTCAAGGGACTATACTCTAACTACTCTAGATGCCCATTAAATGTACACACACACACACACACACACACACACACACACACACAATATCTGTGCTGCAGGCAGGGCCAGGACTAAGATAAGAAACCACTTGTATGACTCTGAGAATGAATCACTCGTTAAATCTTGTACTTGGGCTCCTGGCATCTGTCACCATAGTATGGCCTTGAAAGAAAGAAGTCAACATCACTCCTAAGATGAGGCACCTGGGTCCCAGAGCCCCCCACCCCAGCACTTAGGACACCCCGTTCCAGCCTGCCTCTGGGTCAGTGGGTGTGCCCCGTCCTGCTGAGCACCAGATCCTGCCAGGCCTGCAGGAAGTGCTCTGCGACCTGGCAGCCCTTGCCGGTGTGGCCGTTAGCAGTGCCCTTGAGGGGAAACAGGAAGATGCTCTTAGAAGAGGAGATGGCCGTTGAACAGCATAATGGGGGCGCTGTGGCTTTCCCTTCTGCTTTCTTTCTAACAGGCACTGCTTTCTGGCTCAGAATTGGACCACTGGTTTGGCTGGGGGAAGTTCATTCATTCTCCTCCTAGTGCTCCAGGGTGGAGCAGATAGTCAGGCTTCAGTCTATACAGATCTGGTTTTCCAAAGACCAGGACGTGGGCACTAGCAGGCCGATGTGGATGCTGGGCAGTGAAGGTAAATGAGTGTCAGTTACTGTGGCTGCTGGCTGAGAAGTTGTCATGAAGAATTTCCCTTAAAAATCCATTTCTAAGCTGGTAAATTAAAGACAATAGAATTGTCCTAGGCAGAAATTTGGCAAGCTGTTCTCAAGTCTCTCTGCAAAAATTATTTCATCTTGTTGCCAAATCCCTTTGAAACATAGTTCTATCCACCTATGTGTGCTGAGTCTACCATAGAAAGTTGTTCATTTCAGAGATTTTTATCCACAAGTACTTGGAAAACAAACGGCACCTCCAATATGTCCTTGGTCCATAAAATAATTTACAATGGAGAGAGAAAAGCTACAGTCCCATAAGGGGAGGTCAGTCTGGAAACTAAATTGCAAGTTAGAATTCTTATCTCAGGAGGATCAAATCTAGGGGTAGTCAGAGTGGTCTCTGTGTTTCAAATATCTGTCCTGCTGCCTGAAATGGTATTGGAGATACATTCCTCTTTGACTTTTCTAGAGTAGCAGGTCTCTAAGCATCTCTGATTCAGCTCCAATGTCCCGTAATTCACAGCTATTTTGAAATATGCTTTATCTCCAGGGGGAATAGAATAGATGAGTTCTGCCAGGGATATGGCTTAGGGCATAAGTGCCTGCCTGGCAAGTGAAAAATCCTTAGTTCAATCCCCAGTACCAAACGAAAGAGAGAGAGAGAGAGAGAGAGAGAGAGAGAGAGAGAGAATAAGTTGGCTTGGGTTGAGCACTCCAGCAGATGGTGCGCTGGGGCGGGGGACCTCACAATACATCCAATCTTGTCTTCTTTCTAGTTTTGCCAGTGGTTACTCTATGTTCCCGGTTCCCTCTCTGCTTTATGTAGGAAATAAAATTCCTAACTTGTCTAAGGAAATAAGGTTATATTTTAACCCACTTCTAAAACTTAGGTTAGAATTAAATCCAGGAGATAAAGGGTCTGTTTTATCATATACAAATCTTCATTCATTTGTCTTTAATAAAAAATCATCTTTATTCACACTTCAAAGAATATTGGGACCCCTTTGAGCAGTGGTCCCTACTAAAATTGAAACTATTCATTCTTTCTTTGTGCCAGCTGCAGGGGCAGGAACACTTTGAGGATTATTAGAGTTAGTCTTAACAATTCAGGTTAGTCATTAAGTGTATTTTAGCTTCTCTCTCGTTCTTGGACATTGTGTCTTAGTGCCTATAACCTTAACTCTATAAGGAAACCATTGGAGGCAATGGGGAAGGGTGCAGGTACAGCTCTTTAATTAGAAAAGCAGGGATGGCTATGGTGTAACTCTGTCACTTTGAGAGGCTGAACCAGGAGCATCGCACATTTGAGCCTCCGCTGGGCAACTGAATGACTTAGCATAAACCTGTCTCAAAGTAAATAATGATGGGGATATGGCTCAGGCTGAAGGCCCTGGATTCAGTCCCCAAGAGCACCACAATAAACAAACAAACAAAGCACCTGGTGGGGAAGGTAAATGTAGAAATGTGTCTAGTTAAGAGGATGGTTGAACTCAACCATCAATATATCCTTGTTCAAAATAACTCAAAGCCCTCAAAGGGAAGACCTCCTTCTTATATAATAAGGTCAAGGATGGTGAAGCTGCCTGAAACAGGAAACATTTGGACAGATTTTGCTGAGAGGAAAGATAGCATACAAGGAAGGAAGACAGTCATGGGGTCTGACATTGCCAAGGGGCAGGACAGGGGACGTGGTGAGTGTGCCAAAATCTCACTGGAAGTGCACAGACATGTGTCTTTCTGGTACCTCCTTTTCCTCTCCCAAACTTGTTCCTTCTCTTTTACAAACATTTAATGGTGTCCTCAGACCTCATGTGGCCACATTAACCTCAGATGGTGACTTGGTCAGCTGAGTTTCAGTTCTGTGCACTCAGTCATGCGCCAGTTATTATTAACAGTGATAAATCCCACCTGATAGTTCCCAAGATCCAGCTGGAGGCAAGCACTGGCCAGGAGCCCCAGAGACCTTCGTGGGAGAGGAGGGCCAGTGCTGTCCTTCCAGCAGATGACAGCCCTTTTGCTGACTGCTGCAGCAGCCCACCCTACCAGCATAAGGTCCATAAGACAGCTGCTGTCTCTTACCAGGATCTGCAAGATTATTCTATCAGAGCTCTCCAGATAGAAGTGCATCCCCACTGCATGGGGGCTGGAAGCCAGCATAAGTCTGGAATGTTCCTTGGATGCCTCTCAGAGTGATGACTGACCCTAGAAATTTGGCCACTTTATTCCTGAAATACCATTTGTCATTCCCTGGTTCTGTGTGATGTTACTGCTGTGAGGCTGAACGAGGCTGTAGCACGGTATACTTGAGGGCAGTGGATCTGACCTGGCCCTACCGAGGAGCTCAGATCCTAGTGCTCAGCCCTTCAGGTCATCCAGCATGAGCTCCTCCTTTCACAGTGCAGTACATGAAGGCCCAGACAGCAGCCAGTCATGGTCATGGACCCAGTGAGTGGCAGCTCTGGGGTGGGGCCTCCTCAACTCCCCATGGGTTCTTTCTCTACATTGCTGCTAACATCCCTGACTTCACTGGGTCCTGGCTTCTGCAGCCTCATTATGCTGGAAATTCCACATCAGAAATCTAATTATATCTTAAGCATGTGGAAGCATGTGGGTACCCAAAATGTAGTGCTTTGGACTGACCAAACCCATAAAATACTACTTCTTATGCCACATTAAGTAACATGCATTTGCTAGTCCAGATGTATAGGGATCCTGCTAGACACAGTCCTCCAAATATAGAAAAAGACCTGACACATAGTACCGGTAAGTGTTTGTTGACTGCATGGATTTGTTGATTGAATGAATCCAGCACCCAACCATCGACATATCT